GGGGGGAATATGGGTCGGGGTGGCCTGCTTGCAGGGGAGGGACCTGTGACTCAGTGGAAGAGCCTCTGCTTGGCACGCAGAAGGTCCCGGGTTCAATCCACGGCATCTCCAGTTGAAAGGCTCAGGTAGCAGGTGACGAGAGACAACTGTCTGAGTCCCTGGAGAGCCGCTGCCAGTCTGAGTAGACAATACTGCCCTTGGTGGACCCAGGGTCTGATTCAGTTTAAAGGCAGCATCATAGGGAGGGCCTGTGGCTCAGTGGAAGAGCCTCTGCTTGGCACGCAGAAGGTCCCAGGTTCGATCCCCGGCATCTCTAGTTAAAGGACCAAGGAATAGGTGATGGGAAAGACCTCCGCCTGAGTCCCTGGACAGCTGCTGCCAGTCTGAGTAGACAATCTGGACCTTGATAGAACACATCTAACTCAGGAAGCTTTGCCTCTCGAAAGCTCCTACTTCCAAAATCTTGTTGGTCTCTAAGGAGGTCCTGGGCTCGAATCCAGCCGCTCTCGTGCCGACCGGCACAGCCACCCTCTGAAACGCTCTTCTCGTCTTCTGTCGCTCAGCCCAAGCCTCGTAGGCAGACCACGGCCAGGCCCCTATCTGAGCCAACATCAGAAGAGTCGGAGGAGTCGGGAGGGGAAGTGCAAGATGCCGAGTGGTTGCCGGCGAAAATGGCCAGAGGAATCAAGAAGAACTTTTTGGGGGTACGGCGGGGGAGGGGGGGGCTTTTCGGCAGCTGCTCTGAAACCCGGTTAGATAGAGCGGGACAAAGGAACGTGAGGAGTGCTTTCCGCGCTCCCTCTAAGCTGTGGAGTTTTGTGAGCAGGCATTCTACTTTGTGAGTTCCTGGCCTTAAAGGTTGTGATTGGGTGATTTGGCTGCTGCCTCAATAAGCTTTTCCTGGAGCCCTCCTTCCTGAGCGAAGGCAAAAAGGTGTGAGCCGGAGGCTAAGAAACTGTGAGCTAGCTCACACTAACTCAGCTTAGAGGGAACAATAGTTGCTTCTGAGGGGGTGAGACCAAGAGCCAAATTCCTCCGGTGTTCCGTTTCCAAGAGCGGCTGGCCAGACGCCTCCGAGAGCTCACGAAAAAGGCCTCCTGGGTGGTCTGCTCTCACCATTTCCCTCCTGTTTACACAGAGCTCCCATTCTGCCCTTGAATTTATCTGATCTTTTCTCTAAGGAGCCCTTGGAAGCTCCTGAGCTTCAATCCACACAATCCATTGCCGGCACTTTGGATAGTAATCTTTTAACGTCCTTCGGATGCAAACCCTCCTTTCCCCCCACAAACTTGCTGATGTGTCAGTCAGTTTGGTGTAGTGGTTGAGAGCGCGGACACTTATCTGGGACAGGTTTGATTCCCCACTCCCCACGCCTCCACATGCAGCTGCTGGTGCGACCTTGGGTCAGTCACAAGTTATTTCAGAGCTGTCCTCTTGAGAGCAGTCCTCGAAGGAGCTCTCTCGGCCCCGCCTGCCTCACAGGGTGTCTGCTGTGGGGAGGGGAAGGGGATTGTAAGCTGTTCTGAGGCTCCTCTGGGTAGTGAAGGGCGGGGTATAAATCCAATCTTGTCTTCTTCCTTTCCCATGGGGAACCCTTATGACGTGCCCTCGCTCCCCCTTTACGAGGCTCTCGGGGTTCTGTGCATCCCCTGGTTCTGTGACAGCCGCTGAGATTTCCTCCCTTCCTGGCGCATCCTGGAAGGCCCCGGCCATCTGGTCAGTTCTGACGCAGGCCAAAAGTGGACAGAACGGTGCCAGCTTTTTTGGTATTCCGTGGTGGGCCTGGCAGAGCAGCATGGGCCCCGTGTGTGTGCACGGGCACAGGGGCGTTCCTCCTCACCTGGCTTGTCTCTCGAGAGGGAGTGGATGCTCCTTCGCTGGACGTTTTCAAGCGGAGGTTGGACGACCATCTTTCAGGCATGTTGTAGAACTAACTTTCGGCTCTCCTCCTGCAGAGTGCCGGGGGTTGGACTAGATGACCTGCAAGGTCCCTTCCAACTGTATTCTGTGATTCTATGATCCTAGTGCAACTGCAAAAGCCGCTGTGGCAACAGGCTGTGCGGCTGCCGGAAGCAGAAGGTGGAGTGTTCGGAGGACTGCCGCTGCGAGTCCGAGAAGTGCCGCAACCGGACCCGCAGCGTCTTGGTGAGTGGTTCCCCCCGGGGGTGCCGTCGGTCATTGGGGGCTGTCTGGAAGAGGCTGCCCCCATTTCCCCAATGTGGGGGCCTTTCTGAACTGAGCCATGCAGAGTTGTTTGTTGCGTCCCCCTTCTGTTTCTCCCAACCACATTAAAAAAAAAATGAGTGTCTCTTTATACATCACGGTTGGCGTTAGTCGGTATTACGGGTGTAGTTTGTTTGAATGTGATGACCCACTGAAATTCTGAACTGAGCCATGCAGAGTTGTTTGTTGCGTCCCCCTTCTGTTTCTCCCAACCACATTAAAAAAAAATGAGTGTCGTTAGTCGGTATTACGGGTGTCGTTTGTTTGAATGTGATGACCCACTGAAAAATATAAAACAGAGGTGTCAGACTCATTTGTTAAGAGGGCCGGATCGGACAGGAATGTCTCTTGGCCGGGCCATGTGTGCCATAAAACATAATGCCAGGTACCGGAGATAGAAACTGTATAAAGGGACAGCAGCTGGTAAGATCCGAGTTGGTGTATCCTCACTGCAGGTCCCCACAGGCTGGGAGAGGGGTGCAAAGGAAGACTCACCTAGGCAGACTGGAGAGACAGCGGGGCAGCGGCTCCCACGCTGCTTGACTGCTGCAGACGAGGTTGTTCTGCCGTGCTGAAGCCACAATGGAGTGGCTCCACCCACACCCCCCTCCCTGCCTCCCTGCCTTGCATCAGTTGCTCTCGGGCTGCATAAGAGACTTAGATGGGCTGGTCCCGGCCCCCGGGCCTCATGTTTGACACCCCTGGTATAAAAGGTCTGAAATGAAGGTCAGCCCTCCTGTGATATCTGCAGAGTTCGAGCAACTCTGGGCCCGAACACGTACCAAGCAGTGGGGGCGGGGGGCGGGTTATGTCTGGTATTGTGGGGCAGCCGTTCAGAATGGCAAACGCATCGCCTGGCGGCACGACTCCCAATGCCTGTCCCGTTGAGCACCAGGGGCCGAACCCCTGCCACGAATCCTGTGGGATCGGGGGCGAGCCCGACTCCCTCACATGCTCCTTCCTTCCCTTAGGAGGGGATGTTCACGGAAGACTCCTCGAGGGACTCTAAGACCTTCAGTCTGGAAGACCCCACTCTGGTGTCCGGAGGGGACACTTTCTTTGACCCGCCGGCTGTCACGCCCACCAAGCAGGTCTGTCGGTCCTGTTTTATTTGTTTGTTTACTTGATCGATGTCCTGCCTTCCCCCCCAGTGGGGGGACCCAAGGCGGCTCGGCATCGTTCTCCTCTCCTCTGTTTAATCCTCTCAACAATCCTGCGAGGTAGGCGAGGCTGAGCGTGTGTGACTGGCCCAGGGTCAACCAGGAGTTGGGATTCGAACCTGGGCCTCCCAGATCCTTGTCCGACACTCTTAACTGCCACACTGGGCCCGTAGCCAGGATTTTGTAATTCGGGGGGGGCGCTTTAAATAAGTCAGGGGGCACTGACGTCACAAAATAAAAAATAAACATTTTAAAAACTCACTTTTGCAGCATTTGCACTCTGCCTGCCTGTATGAGGAAGCAAGCTGCACTTGGTGAAGGGGGGGCAGTGTGGAGTCCTCTGGGTAGCCCAGAGAGCCTGGGGGATGGATGGAAGTCAGGGGGGGGGGCTTGGAAGGAAGTCAGGGGGGCAGGCCCCGAAATGCCCCACTGTAGCCACGGGCCCCCTCCGCTACACCACACTTGGCCCCCTGCTGCTTCCCTGGAATTCTGGCTGGGTAGGGAAATAACTGCGGTGCGGTGGCTCAAGGGGTTAAGACGCTGAACTGCAGGCTGTGGAAGGTCAGTAGTTCAGCCATTCGAGACCCGAGGTGCCGCATGATGGAGTGAGCTCCCGTCTCTAGTTCCAGCTCCTGCCAACCTAGCAGTTCGAAAGCAAGAAATTGCAAGTAGATAAACAGGGACCACTTCGGTGGGAAGGTAACAGCGTTCCGTGCGCCTGGGTGTTTAGTCATGCCGGCCACATGGCCACGGAAACGTCTTCGGACAGCGCTGGCTCTTCAGCTTGGAAACGGAGATGAGCACCGCAGCCCTAGAGTCGGATTCGACTGGCTTTCGAGCAAGGGAAACCTTTACCCCTTTCCCTTTAGGGAACTACAGTGATCGCTTGATAAGCCAGTTGTCTCATCCAAGTGGTTACAGGTGTGCCGTGGTCATGTACCACTGAACCAAGAGTCACCTCTGTGTATCTGAATGCGCTCGCCCCGACTTGGAGGGCCCAGGCGAGCCCAGGTCTCGTGAGGTCTTGGAAGCGAAGCAGGGTCAGCCCCGGGTAGCGTTTGGATGGGAGACCCCCGAGGAAGTCCAGGGCTACTCGGCAGGGGCAGGCGAGGGCCAGCCGCCCCTGAACGCCTCTTGCCTTAAAAACTTGTTGGAATTGCGAGTTGCTTACACTTCAGTCATTACAGAGTTAAATGTTGTTTGTTAGGAAACAGAATGCTACGTTACATAATGTATTCAATGGCAGGGAAAGTTTGTGGGAGTTGTTTATCCTAATGAAGTGACCTGTAACCTTTGTTTTGGTCAACTAACGTCTTGTTTGTAGGAATGCTCTGATCTAGCATTCATGTATTCACAAGTTTATGGCCCTTTGTGTGAACCAAAAGCGGTAGTTCTCTTCTAGAAGCCAAGAGAGATAGAAAGATGTAGCGGTTAGCATATATTACTGAGAGTAACTGCAAGTATGTAACCTTTTATTTTATTTCTTTTACCCAAAGTACCCTGCCCATGTTTTATTTTGTTTTTATAGTAAAGATTTTTTTTTCTTTTACTAGGTGTGGCTCTTGTGTTTGCAATACAACCATCGACCTTGAATTAAGAATCCCAACAAAGTGGTAGCAGAGGATGGTTTATTTGCAACACAAAAGAAGCCCACTGTTTTCTTGAACTGAATTAGAAAAGGCAGAGAGAGTTCTTTTACTAAGTGTGGCTCTTGTGTTTGCAATACAACCATCGACCTTGAATCAAAGAATCCCAACAAAACCCCATGAGGGGGTCGCTGTTAGCTGTGACTTGATGCCACTTTCCACCACCGCTAGAACGAGGCTCTCCTGTGCCCTCACTCGTCTGGCATCTGCCACGGGCGCGCTCGCTCACCCGTTTGTGGCGTGCTCAGCTGTAAACGTGCAGCGCCTGTCTATCAGCTGGGTTGCCGAGACAGCTGTCAGTGCTCACTCCGCCTTTCCCGAGTGCTTTTTGGTAGAGCTGAGATTCTCCCTCCTTGTCTCAGCGGGGTATCTTGCGTGCATGAAACTTTCAAAAGCAGGCACAGTTTGGTTTTTAGGAAGTAGAGCGACACACACACACACACACACCCCGTCTGCCTTCAGTTTTATTCCCTGCTAAAACTCGTCTTTAAATGGGGATTAGACAGATACACGGAGGAGTGGTCTATTAGTGGCTACTAGCCATGGTCACTAAAGGGAACCTCTGTATTCGGAAGCAGTCTACCTCTGAATCACAGTGCCAGGAGGCAACGTCGGGGGAAGGCCTTGGCCTCTCTGCCCTGTTGTTGGCCTGCCAGAGAAACTGGTTGGTCACTTTTGAGACCAGGAGAGAAGAGGAGGAGATTGGATTTATACCCTGCCCTTCACTACCTGAAGGTGTCTCAGAGTGGCTCACAAACTCCTTTTCCCTTCCCTTCCCCACAACAGACACCCTGGGAGATAGGTGGGGCTGAGAGGGCTCTTTTGAGAACTGCCCTTGAGAGGACAGCTCTGAGAGAACTTGTAACTGACCCAAGGTCACACCAGCAGCTGCGTGTGGAGGAGCGGGGAATCAAACCCAGTTCTCCCAGGTTAGAGTCCATGCTCCTAGCTACTACACCAAAATGGCTCTCACCAAAGGTGCTGGACTAGATGGGACCGCTGGTCTGATCCAGCAGGGCTCGTCTGACGTTCTGTGCCCCCATACACTCTAGCGGTGTAAGCTCTTCTGCCGAACCCCTTGACAAAGAAGGGGATACTTTTGACCTCCTTTCTTTCCCTCCCCTCCCCAAGGTCTTAAAGCCGGTCAACAGCCAAGAGTCCTTGGCCTGGGAGCAGAGCGACATGACCGCCTCCTTCGCTCTGGGGGACCTGGACACCGAGAACCAGCTGCCGGCCGTGAAGAAGAGGAGGAAGCGGGTCCTGAGCAGCGCCAGCAGCTTCTTTGCCAGCTGCACCCCCATCAAGGAGGACTTTGTGGAGGGCTAACAGGGCGGAGGCGGCCGAGAGACCCTGCCGGACTTGACTTGAAATCCGGCGACACGCAACTTTGAAGTCTAAGAACTCTTTGACTCCTTTTTTTTTTAGAATATAGTGTATCGATGAATTTGAATAAAGAATAAAGTTTAAGTACATGAAATGTGTGTTCCCAGTGCTCTTTATGGGCTGCACGTGAGCTTCCGTGCCACAAAGCATCTCTCTGGACTACCTTAATTAAGAGAAGAAGAAAAAAAGACGTAAAAATGAGAGGACTTCTGGTTTCCGGCAGGGGTGTTGCTGTTCGCTCTGTGAAGAATTCCTTCTTCTAGTTGTTTTTAGATGGTTTTATCTTCTGGTTTTATTTTCAGGGGTATCAGCTTGATCTGTTTTATCGGGAAGTAGCCGTCTTTGGCGGCCTCAAATGGGTCCCCCCCCCCCTTTTTTTGTTTTGTTTTGCCAGTTGCGTGTGGGACAGCGTTTTGCGGCTCCGGAGGAGTACAGCTTTGGCTGATTTTAATTGATTTTGGCTTTCGTTTTGAATGGCTTTTGTTTCTGTTCTGTTTTTGAGTCTTCCCCTCCTTTTGGTCAAGGAGGGGGAAAAGCTCTTGAGAAGTGGAAGCTCTCCCTCTGTGGCCTTATCTCAGGAATTCAGCTCGTTGGCTGAAAGATTTACTAGTTTTTCGTTGGGGGAAGGGTGTGGTCATGAGAGCGAGGGGATAGCTCTGTCTCACCTCTTGCTATATTATATTATGTCACCTACATTTATATTCTTATAAACAGGGAGAACTGAGCAGGTTTTATATAGCTGGTTATTTCTGGGCAGTGTGGGGTTTAGGTAGCAAGGTATAGCACAACTCCCTTTTTTCATTTTAAGAGAGCCAGTTTAGTGTAGTGGTTAGGAGCGGGTGGACACTAATCTGGGAGAACCGGGTTTGATTCCCCACCCCTCCACTTGCAGCTGTTGGGTGTGACCTTGGGTCAGTCACAAGTTCTCTCAGAGCTGTTCTCTCAGGAGCAGTCCTTGAAAGAGCGCTCTCAGCCCCACCTACTTCACAAGGTGTCTGTTGTGAGGAGGGGAAGGAAAAGGAGTTTGTAAGCCGCTCTGAGACACCTTCGGGTAGTAAAGGGCGGGGTATAACTCCAATCTCTTCTTCTAAGAGTATTTTAGTCCATTTTAAATGTTTTAAAGTTGTATTGCTTTGTCTTATACTGATTTTAAGTTGCATTAAGTGGTTATAAGCATATTGATTAGAGTGAATAGATTTATATTAGGGATAACTAATTTAATACCTTAACATACCTAAGGGACCGCCTTTCCCCATATGTTCCCCCATGGGCACTACGGTCGGGGACACAACACCTCCTGACGATGCCAGGCCCCAAGGAGGCCAGGCTGGCTGCTACCAGGGCCAGAGCTTTTTCGGTGGCGGCTCCTGCCTGGTGGAACGAGCTCCTGGAGGAGATCCGGGCCCTTGTGCAGTTCCACAGGGCCTGCAAGACGGAGCTCTTCCGCCAGGCTTTCGAGTAGGAGCCGCCACCAATGTTCCCTCTAAGCTGTGGAGTCTTGTGAGCAAAAATTCTACTTTGTGAGCTCCTGGCATTAAATTTGTGAGCGAGCGATTTGGCTGCTGCATAAATTAGTTTGTTCTGGAGCCCTCCTTCCTGAGCTGAGACAAAAATGTGTGAGCCGGAGGCTAAAAAACTGTGAGCTAGCTCACACTAACTCAGCTTAGAGGGAACTCTGGCCGCCACCACTACTGTACCATCGTTATGTTACCATCAGTATTGTCTGGCCCTGGGAAGAGAGAACGAGAGTGTCGCGTGGAACGGAGAGCATTGAGTAGATGTACCATCTTGTGACGTCATCTTTGTGGAAGATGAGACTGGAACAGCTAGAGCACTTATTTTGATGTAAATGTAGTCATGATTCTATATGGTTTTAATCTGTTTTATCTGTTGGCTTATGCCTATTTGTGAGCCGCTCTGAGCCCGCGCTGCGGGGATGGTGGGCTATAAGTTGAATTTATAAATAAATAAATAAAATGGGTAAAAAGCAACCCCACCCTTAAGAGCTCTCTCAGCCCCACCCGCCTCCCAGGGTGTCTGTTGGGAGGGGAAGGGAAAGGAGGGGTCTAAATCCAATCTCTTCTTCTGCAAAACAGCCATTAACTGGCTGTGCTGAGATTCAAACCCAACAGAGACTGGGACCTTAGAGTGCTTAGCCAGGGTACCATCAAAATCAAGTTTCTGGCTTCTTTAAAATGATCACATTGAGGGACCGGATCACAGCTACCGGTATGGGCTCTGTGTACGTTACGTGCCGTCGTTTCTGACTTACGGCAACCCTACGAATTCAAAACTGCCAACGCATCCTTTTGTTAACAGCCTCGCTCTATAGTCTTGCAAACTGAGGGTCACGGATTCCTTGACTGGGTCACTCCAGTTCAGGTTGGACAAAGTCTGAGTCCGGTGCCGCCTCAAAGACCCACGAAGCTTCATTCTGGGTATAAGCTTTTGTGTGCATGCACACAAAAGCTTATACCCAGAATGAAGCTTCGTGGGTCTTCGAGGTGCCCCTGGACTCAAACCCTGTTCAGCCACTTCAGACCAACATAGGTTGCACCCCACCAATGTTCACCATGAAAAACTGATTGAAATCCAATTACAGTCCACAAATTTGCTTCTTTTTTGTTTATGTCCTGCGGTGCTGCTGCTTCCGACAATTGCCCTGTGACTACAGGTTTCCCGGGTAAACAGTCTGTTTCCCTCAATGCTTCGTCGGGTCGCTTTATCCTTGGGAGCCCCTGCTCTACGTCTCCTACTCAGAATTAATCTTGTATTGCTACAGCTGTTCGATTCCCGCCGCGGCCAGAGTGAGCACCTGGCCCCAGTCCCAGCTCCCGCTAACCCAGCGGTTCGATAGCACGATGTAACATCAAAAATGTGCGAGTAGATCAATGGGTACCTACCTTAGATGGTTCCAGAAGGAAGATCGAAGATCGAATAACGTCCCTCCACTGGGTGCTGTTAGGACAGTCCCCACCCCAGTACATATGTGGCCATAGGTAAGGGATAACGGTTAACTGTAAGCCGCTCAGAGACCCCCTGGGAGGGTTCGAGCGGGGTAGCAAGTTGAAATAAATAAATAAATTTTCTCGGCATCTGCTGGCTCTCATTCCAAGAAAACAAGAAGATTAATTCTGAGTAGGAGACGTAGAGCAGGGGCTCCAAAGTATAAAGCAACCTGACGAAGCATTGAGAACAGACGGTTTACCTGGGAAATCCGTAGTCACATGACAATTGTTGGAAGCAGCGGCAGCACTGCATGACGTAAAATAAAGGAACAAAAAAGAAGCAGCACATTTGTGGACTGCAGTTGGATTTGAATCCATTTTTCACAGTGAACATAGGTGGGGCGCAACCGTGGTTGAGTCACTGTGGTTCATTTGTGGCTGAGGCTTCAGACCAACATGGCTACCCACCAATGCACCCTCTAAGCTGTGGGGTCTTGTGAGCAAACATTCTACTTTGTGAGCTGCTGGTCTTAAAGCTGTGAGCAACTGATTTGGCTGCTGCATCAATGAGTCCGCTTCAGAGCC